TAAAGAACGTCCAAAACGGACATCCGGAACTCCCAAAACATCAAAAACACCAAAAACACTCAACCTGCGACACATAATTCGCTCAGCGCACCCCCCCTTGTGCGCTGTGCGAATTTCCCAGACAAAAGGACCGCTAAAATTCGCATAGCGCACCCTATTTCGCATGGCGAATTGATTCGCAGCGTACATCACTTCAAACCTCTCGCTATGCACCTCACTCGCTCTTCGAATTAAATAGGCAGTGATCCTAAACCACCACCAGTCGCATAGCGACAGGATTCGCCATGGCGAGTCCAAAAACAGTGAGCATCACCCTCTGGAAATTCGCACAGCGCACTAACTCGCACAGCGAATTTCCAAAACAGTGAGTACCCCTTTTCAGGGTCTCGCTATGCGAGACAACTCGCATAGCGACACTGCATAATCTGCAGTACGTGAATTCTGCATAATCACTCACTTACACTAACCCTTACCATTTCTAGGACTCTTGGTTAATTTCTAAGACCTCTTATTCGATTATTACTGGTAATTCTTCTTGTCTAGATGATCCAAACCCTCCCTAGTATTAATGTAAAGTGATTAAATTCAGTTTTACCATTTAAAGCATCAATCCTTGCCACTTATGAACACATTCTCATCTCAACCATTATCTCAGGACTTACTCAGTTCTCTGACCCCTCACCAGTTCTGTTGACTCAACTAAACTATCCCAACTGCCCAATTAGTCACCGGAGAAGAATCAGATGTCTGAACGCATCAGTCTCACCTTCGCCGCCAACACATATGACTAGTCACAACGTACTGGACCAGGCCAGGGCTGCTCTATGATCAGGGATGTGCCAACTCAGGTTTTTAAGATTCTTCTATCCTACCAACACAGTGCTCTCAACAAGTCCTAATTGCCTTATAGTACTCTAGACCCCATTCACCCAATTTTAGTACTCCACTTCCCTCACAGTAACCTAAAGCAGTACATGTATCCACTCACCATCCATTTTAATTATTTCCCAGAGATCTTACTCAAATCCAGAAACCCAGTACAGCCAACGTAATGCTCATTCAAGTCAAACAAAGTTCAGCACACTATGGTTACATAACTTCCACACATCCAGTAGATACAAATCAACATGCTCATCACAAAACATAATTAAACAGTACATAGCAGTTCAAGTCAACACACCAATTCAGGACTTAACATGCAAATATCTCAAAATAATTTCAAACAAAGAACTAGCTCCCCTTACCTCAAAGTCGAACTACCAAGCTCACAGAGACGCTCCCTCACGGTATTTCACTAACTGAGAACTGAACCAAACCCTACAAACCACCAAGGTGGTGACAGTAACAGCTCTTAGAGCTTGATTTAACAAACCAAAAATTATAAAATAAAACCCCTAGTAACATACAACCAGTAACATTGCATGTTCTAGGTTTGAGAATGGAGACAGAGAAGGGAAAAGTTGACTCACTGGTCCAATCGAAAATGCGATCGGTTCAAAAGGAAGCCTTCGGTGAGATGAACGCCTGAGCACCTTCCATCCCAAGATTGAACGGTTCAAAGAGCTGAAAAATTTAGAGAGAAGGCAGAGAAGAGTTTAGGGCAAAATGTTTTCTTTTTAGAGAGAGAAAGGGAAAGGCAGAAATGGATTTACTCTAGCTTTTGGGGAATGACCCTGGCTAAGTTAAGGTTCCCTTAGTCTGGGCCTGACTGCCTCCAACTAGGGCCCAATGGCCTTATAATTTTCCAGGTCCTCACATTCTCCCCAACAATTTAAAATTTTCGTCCTCGAAAATTAGACTTGTCAACTAGAAGGAATAATCCATCTTCATCACAGACTCTGGAACCGCCACTTATTTTGACGAAATACTACTCCCCTCAACTTCACCAACAATGAAACATTGCCTCTGTACTAAAATGCTCTAATGCTCAACAGTGTAGATTGGTTTAGCCATTATTCTCAAAACAATTCTAAATTTATACGCCTCAACTTTTAAGTACCTTTCTTTCATATAACCAATCCTATGGTGTCTGCCACACTGCTAACCACTTATCAATCTTCCGCTACTTCTTGTAAATTTCTTTTGAGACTTCCACTAATCTAGTCTTCAATTTAACCCTTGACTCATACTCATTTACCTCCTCTTACTTCTTCTAAGAACCACCACACCATTGACTTGATCATTACCGCTTCTGATTTAATTACCGTCTATTATGCTCTTGATCACCTTTAACCACCTCCATTCTGAGGACTTCACATTGCTTTACTGATCTCCACTCTTGAGTAGCATAGTTTCCAGCTATACTACCCGATTACCAAATTAAATCTTTACTCTGTTGCAGTGACAAAACCAATTTGAGCACTCTATCTTCACTTCGTTATCTCACTAACTTGAACCATATGTAATTCTTGATCCACTAGCTTGCACTCATACTTAGATTTGTAACCTCTTCAACTTGAGATCACTAGCTTGATCGGTATCAAGCCAACTCATGATACATCTCGAACTAGGATTGTCCAACCTGCGCTTTCTCAACCATTTTGAGAAACCCACTAGTTATAGTATTTCAACTATACTAACAAAATCACTTTACAGCTTCACTAGAGACCCCAATCATCATATTCTTTAACCAACTCTTATTCAATATTTGCCAAACCAAGAACTTGAATCTTCTCTTTGTGCAACCCTTCTATTAACATTTCGCTACCTTTAGATTGCCACTATAACTCAAAACCATAACTTAAATCATCTTTCTCGTCCACCGACCCACTCTTCATGTTCCAAATTCATTAATACTTCCTTACTTTAAAGTTGACCCTGAAGCTTGAAACCCAAGGCTCACTTATCTTCCCTGCTTGATACATGTTTCTTTCACACCTAAACTCACTTCTGACTCTTGAAGATTACCAAACACTCCCAACTCATGCTCATATAACAACATCAATACTATTTCAAAGAACTCGTCCCTCACAATCCACCAATCCACAATTTTGAAAGCTCTTCATGCATACCTATTACTGACAATAACATGCTCACCATCATTCGCTGCGCTACTCTGATCCTTATACTTCCTTACTCACCAATTTACTGAAAAGAACACTTCCTTCATGACAACTGTAACCAGAAAATGATCACCCTCGAAGAACCTTTCTCAGAACTTCTATGACCTTACAAAACCCTGAAAACTCTTCCCTTGCATAATAGCCTTGTCATTCCATTTCCTCAACACTGTTTTCTACTCCACAAAACGACCATGCCCGAAATCACTCCTGATTGTTAAGACTTATACTAGACTGTGCCAACATGTCCTCTATTTCTCTTTTGCGATTCTTCAACCTTGTAGTTCTCCCTATGATTATACTGAGTCCAAATATTATTGCTCTAACTCAACCTCCATCTTCCTCTTGCACTACACGACTTAAACCGGAACCACCCAAAAATTTCGGACACTGGTGTTGCCTAAGACCCCACTCCAAAGTGAATTCCACTTCTCCAAGTTATAAAATCCCATACTCGTTGCAGAACACCAACCAAAACCCTTGCACCATAAAGATTTATCTTCTTGAAATACGAAGCTTCTATCAAAGACTACAAAGCACTAAAGAACTAGTTTGAAACAACAAACCTCCCTTGAATCACACCTCAAACTTACAAAAGAACAACATCATCTCTTCTTCATTTGCAATTTAAAGACATCTTGAATTCTCATAACACTTGCTTCCATCTTTCGCTCAACTATACTTGATGCACCACCTTCGTTCTCCTTCCCTGTCAAGAAACCACTCCATATAAACTTCAAACTTGAGCCCTTAGATTAACTCCACAAACACCACATCACTCATAATTCTTCTTGCACTCATCCTGTCCAAATTAACTTAAAACCTTCTTCTTCAAGAATTGCCCTCTTCAACTCGGAATCGTCAAAATACAAACCCCATCTTTAATCCTCTAAACCTCAAGATACTCTTAACCAACAACACCAATCCTTTGACCTTATCTGAACTTACCAACTCACTGCCTTCTGCAATCCATCATTCAACATCCACTTCTCTCTTGATCAAACTCAGCCGAACATTGAACATCACCATAACACCATACCCAAAGAAAATTAACTTTATCACAACATGCAACTTCATAACTCTAAACATCTCAACCAACCCAAACTTCTCTGATCATTCTCGATACCCTCTTTAGCAACTTATACTACAACCACCCTTTATCATCTTTCTAAAACATTTCTTCTCCTCTCTTCATCCACTGTGCTCTTAATTCTCTGACCTTATACTTTCTTACCAAACTGACATTCTGGTGTACTCCTTCCTTCAACATTTGAAATCTCTCATCTCAGCCAATGATCAAACATTTATTTTATACGAACCACTAATCTTGAAACATTCTTCTAAACTTGACTATGCATTATCCGATTGCGATTAATGCTTAACCACTCCATTCGGTTATTCAACTCACAGTCCTACAATACTTCAATTCTCCTCACACACTTCATGTTCCCTCAACTTGGAGATCCGGCTTCTATTACACCCTCCTTAAATCCGTTCTATGCTTTACACACTGCTCCTCAAACCCTTCTTCTTCTACTTCCTATCAAAATAACGATTTCCCGTGGTCCACTTATTTCTTTCTTAACTTAAGCTTCACACCATCTATTACTTCTCTTATTCAGATTCCAATCATCGCCGATACATTGGTCCATGTTACAAATCTCACCCAATGCTACTCCGTTGCTCACCAACATTTTTTTTTTCTTCTAACCTCTGACGCTACTGATATACTAAACCAAATTGATTTCTCAAACCCTGTTACACCCATGCTTATCCAAAGCTCCTCTTAATCTAGCCTCCGAACCCCACTCTTCTTGTGGAACGTACAATAGCTGATCTTCTGACTCTGCTCTTGAGAACTTTTTCTTCACCTAAAACATTACTTCTAAATTCCAATATCTTCACTTGTCCTTTAAAGCCTAAATTTTTAGTCTTCTAACTCCTTATCTTCGAGGCCAGAATTTGCCTCAAAGGCTTTAACCAATTCTAATGAAGGTATACAGGTCAAGTTGTCCTTGAATCTGCATTCCTCTACTACTATAGAGCACATTACACCACTACAAAGGCAAGAACAAGACAGGAATTACTACAGGAAACAACACTGGAACCCTAACTCTTTCTTACCTCAAACCTTCAGAATTAAGAAAGGAAAATCATCTATGGTAAAAGTCATGAGTGTGCACCCTCATCACTCCTATCAAGACGTTTTCTGTTCTCAAAACCTCCAGTTAGATACAATACTATACTATCTAGACTTGGAGGAAATGGTAAATTATACCATTTACACTCAATTCTTCACAGAGAAGACACGACAAGCCCTCAACTCACAGGTCATCCTAAGGACAAACTGCTCTGATACCATTAATGTAACATCCCAAAATATATAGCAATGTATATATGTAGAATGCATCGATTATAATAATAGAAAGCAGTTAAGAGTACACAATAGATAGGATTAAGGAGTACAGTTATCCAAGTCTGGCTGGGAAGTTTTAAAACTTAAGTACAAGTTCATAATTCTCCAAAATACATGATTGAATAAAGATTCAATGGGACCTAAAGAGTGTTTCCAAAATACAGATCATGATAAAATGAAGTCTAGAAGTCTTTCAAAATGAAGAGCTATTTAACATAAGAGCTAGTAGAAATCCTAAGCACTAGGTGCTGGGTCTTCCTCAACTTCCAAAGCTTGCTCCAAAGGTACATCATCACCTACTGCTCACATCCAAAGGATTGGATGATCATCGCAAGGGGGAAAGCAAACACATGCAACACATACAAATGCAAGGGTGAGCTAGGTCTCAAACAATCATACAATTCATTTTCAATCAATCTAGCATTTCCCAGAATATCCATACGCACATAAACACCTTAGTCATCATAAACATAAGCATTTATTTCATAAAACTCATCAAGACAAGCATCCTATCATGTTAAGACTCTAGACACGTCCGGACATAGAATGTATGTAGAGCTGGGGCGGGTTGTGCACTTGTGATGGCCTCTACTGCTTTGCAAAGCCATTGCCGAGGGGTTCCACCCGACCATACACAAGGCTAGTCCGTTACCGCGGAATAGACCTTCAGTGATAGCGCCTACCCTAGGACCTCCCACTACTCCCACCACACGCGTCAATCCTCTCTAAGTGAGAATGAAAGACCGTTGGAGTGTTAGGGATAACCCCCCATATGGAAGCCTCTCACATTCATTCAATACACTAACTGATCCCACCGAGAGATCTTAATTTCATATTCAATCCGACCACTTTAAATCACATGATATTCCTCTTGGATCAATAATGTACCTCATAAACCACTTTGATTCAATCAACATAAAATTTCATAGTCATTCAAGTGCATTCTTACTATATTGTCTCATACCAAACCCATACACCCTCATACAACATTAACCATGTCATAAAACAACTCATACATTACATACTTTCACAAAACCATCACTTATCAACACAAAATTCTTTAGGACTTTTAATTACCAATACTTAAGTAATTCAAACAGCTTGGAGACCCTCACCAATGGCTCCGGAAGGGTCAAAAACCCCCAGAACGAACTAAAGAACGTCCAAAACGGACATCCGGAACTCCCAAAACATCAAAAACACCAAAAACACTCCACCTGCGACACATAATTCGCTCAGCGCACCCCCCCTTGTGCGCTGTGCGAATTTCCCAGACAAAAGGACCGCTAAAATTCGCATAGCGCACCCTATTTCGCATGGCGAATTGATTCGCAGCGTACATCACTTCAAACCTCTCGCTATGCACCTCACTCGCTCTTCGAATTAAATAGGCAGTGATCCTAAACCACCACCAGTCGCATAGCGACAGGATTCGCCATGGCGAGTCCAAAAACAGTGAGCATCACCCTCTGGAAATTCGCACAGCGCACTAACTCGCACAGCGAATTTCCAAAACAGTGAGTACCCCTTTTCAGGGTCTCGCTATGCGAGACAACTCGCATAGCGACACTGCATAATCTGCAGTACGTGAATTCTGCATAATCACTCACTTACACTAACCCTTACCATTTCTAGGACTCTTGGTTAATTTCTAAGACCTCTTATTCGATTATTACTGGTAATTCTTCTTGTCTAGATGATCCAAACCCTCCCTAGTATTAATGTAAAGTGATTAAATTCAGTTTTACCATTTAAAGCATCAATCCTTGCCACTTATGAACACATTCTCATCTCAACCATTATCTCAGGACTTACTCAGTTCTCTGACCCCTCACCAGTTCTGTTGACTCAACTAAACTATCCCAACTGCCCAATTAGTCACCGGAGAAGAATCAGATGTCTGAACGCATCAGTCTCACCTTCGCCGCCAACACATATGACTAGTCACAACGTACTGGACCAGGCCAGGGCTGCTCTATGATCAGGGATGTGCCAACTCAGGTTTTTAAGATTCTTCTATCCTACCAACACAGTGCTCTCAACAAGTCCTAATTGCCTTATAGTACTCTAGACCCCATTCACCCAATTTTAGTACTCCACTTCCCTCACAGTAACCTAAAGCAGTACATGTATCCACTCACCATCCATTTTAATTATTTCCCAGAGATCTTACTCAAATCCAGAAACCCAGTACAGCCAACGTAATGCTCATTCAAGTCAAACAAAGTTCAGCACACTATGGTTACATAACTTCCACACATCCAGTAGATACAAATCAACATGCTCATCACAAAACATAATTAAACAGTACATAGCAGTTCAAGTCAACACACCAATTCAGGACTTAACATGCAAATATCTCAAAATAATTTCAAACAAAGAACTAGCTCCCCTTACCTCAAAGTCGAACTACCAAGCTCACAGAGACGCTCCCTCACGGTATTTCACTAACTGAGAACTGAACCAAACCCTACAAACCACCAAGGTGGTGACAGTAACAGCTCTTAGAGCTTGATTTAACAAACCAAAAATTATAAAATAAAACCCCTAGTAACATACAACCAGTAACATTGCATGTTCTAGGTTTGAGAATGGAGACAGAGAAGGGAAAAGTTGACTCACTGGTCCAATCGAAAATGCGATCGGTTCAAAAGGAAGCCTTCGGTGAGATGAACGCCTGAGCACCTTCCATCCCAAGATTGAACGGTTCAAAGAGCTGAAAAATTTAGAGAGAAGGCAGAGAAGAGTTTAGGGCAAAATGTTTTCTTTTTAGAGAGAGAAAGGGAAAGGCAGAAATGGATTTACTCTAGCTTTTGGGGAATGACCCTGGCTAAGTTAAGGTTCCCTTAGTCTGGGCCTGACTTCCTCCAACTAGGGCCCAATGGCCTTATAATTTTCCAGGTCCTCACAGAAATTATCTAAAAATACAACTTCAATTTTGTTTAAATGACAGAACTAAAATCATTTAAAAAATGTATCACTTCTTTATATAAAGTAGTGTAAAGCTGCACAACTTATTTATTTTTGTAATATATGAAATAAATATATTTAATCTTGTAAAAGAAATCTGATAAGTTGGAATCTTCATTATGTATTTAGGAAAAATTATATTTGATATACATAATTCTATAAAACGTAAGAAAAATAATTTTTTAACAATTTTTTTTATAATTTTTTTATTGGTAAATTGTGGTTAGTTCATTTTAAATGTTTTTTTAATATAAATTCAAGTAAATTAATGACATATGGTCCAATCTAAAAAAAGTTGTGAAGATATGGGATCCAAAATGTAAATATATTTGATCCTACCATTGTTCGTGCAATAAATGCACCGACACTAGCCATCCACTTCACCACCGTTTTTGGACTTTGTGCTTTCCTTAAATAATCCACCGGTGAAAGAGAAATGTGGCTAAGTTTGTTTCTGAGTGTTGTATGTATTCTGAATTTCCAGAAAATATTCAAGTTTATCATTAAGACAACTATTTTTTTTATACCAACAGGTGGCACGTAGTTGTAAGCAGAGAGTGATAATGATTAGTGTGAAGGAGTCGACAATGGTGCAACCTGCGGAGGCGACACGGCGGAAGGTGTTGTGGAACTCAGATCTGGATTTGCTGGTGGGGAATTACCACACTCCCAGTGTCTATTTCTACAACCCAAACGGAGCTTCCAATTTCTTCCATTCCAACATCTTGAAAGAAGCTCTCAGTAAGACCCTCGTCATTTTCTACCCGATGGCCGCCCGTCTCCGCCGCGGTGACGACCACCGCGTGGAGATTTATTGTGACGGTCAAGGTGTACTCTTCGTTGAGGCTCATGCCACCGTTGCCATGGACCACTTCACTGAAAACCTTCACCATCGCAACCTTATCCCCACGGTGGATTATTCCGCCGGTATTGAAACATATCCGATAGTGGTGTTACAGGTGTGTGCCATTTTTTCTTTTTATTGCGTGGATTCATGAGATCAAAAGTGAATTTATAGTGTATATTAAAGTTGCATTATTTACACAATAAAAACTAATTTTTATTACACTGCATGCATGCAGATAACATATTTCAAATGTGGAGGGGTGTCATTAGGTGTTGGTCTGCAACACCACGTGGCAGATGGAGCATCCGGGATTCAGTTCATCAATGCATGGTCCGATGTGGCTCGTGGCTTAGACATTTCCGTTCCTCCGTTCATTGACAAGACCCTACTTCGTGCCAGGGACCCACCTCAACCTGTTTTTCCTCACCACGAATACCAGCTCTCACCACCCGCCGCTGCCACCACCACCACTACTGTAGTTGCCTCTATCTTAAAATTGACTCGTCACCAACTGGACACCCTCAAGGATAAGTGGAAAGAAGGTGGCAACAGCATCAAATATAGCACTTACGAGATGTTGGCAGCTCATATATGGATAAGTGTGTGCAAAGCAAGAGGCCTTGGAGCTGAGCAAGAAACCAGACTGTATATTCCGATTGATGGAAGGGGGAGGCTGCAACCTCCCCTCCCTCCTGGTTACTTTGGCAATGTCATTTTCTCCACCATTCCCGTCGCAGTGGTAGGAGAACTCGTGTCAAAACCTACATGGTATGCTGCGGACAAAATCCATAAAGCAATAATGAGAATGGACAACGAATATTTGAGGTCAGCTGTTGACTATCTAGAGCTACAACCTGATCTGAATGGTCTTGTTCGTGGGGCACATACTTTTGCTTGTCCAAATGTTGGTATCAATAGCTGGGTCAAGTTTCCGATCTATGATGCTGACTTTGGTTGGGGAAGACCCATCTTCATGAGACCTGGTTGGATTATACACGAGGGGCTATCAATCATAATTCCAACCTCAACAAATGATGGCAGCTTATACTTGACAATTGCTCTACCACCTCACCATATGAACTTGTTTCAACAATTCTTTTTTGACATTTGAGGGGTTCAATACTTAGGAAAAGACTGTTTTTTTTTATAAGTTCAATTTATTGGGCTTGTTTAAGAATGGGCAAAAAACGATGGTAATAATAGAAAGTGTTGTAACTGATGTTTGAATAAGAAAATTATGTTGGTTAAGCGCAATGGCTGAGTGGAGGGGCGATTGTGTTAATCATGATGAAGGGTGAGAATACATCAACATGTTTCTTTCTAGCATTCATGCATTATATAACATCCACTAGTGTTTGCTTACATCATTATCACTAATCTTTTTTCTTTCTCTTTAATCATATGCTGCTGACTTTGCTGGCATAATCAACGATTAATGGCTTCAACTTTACCTCCTGCTCATTGTTTAGTAGTTTGATAATGAGACCACACTCACAATTCAAGATATAATTATCGCAGAATAATGGTTGTTTCGTATTTCAATTTGATATCTACACTAATCTACGTGAATCATTTGATAATCTTCATTTGTCGGAAAGTTTTAATAATGTCCATTATCTTGTCCATATCCATTACACCGTTAATGCTCTACTGTTTGTCTGATAAGTGGTTTGTTGAGAAGCAAAATTACTCTGTTCCTGGATCATGGTTTACCCATAGGTGTTATTAGTAACTGCTACCATAGTTTAGGCTGCACAACTATTAACAGTTCTTCCTGACTCTGCACCCCACTTGATATCTTCTTTTAATATAATCATAGAACTCTTGACCATCAGGAACAAGTTCCCCATTCATATCAACTAGAGGTTTTGCTAGTACAAGAAATTGATGGATTTTATGCATGCCTTATCAGTACTGCGCAACATAATCATCTAAAACTTGTAATGTTACCTACAGTATTTGATATGAATATGTAAAAAATGACCCTGTGAAAGCTGTAGTCATGATTAAGATGGTTTCATAATTCACTGTTTATTACAGGCTCACAGAAAAAAGGACATGACATGCTAAGCTATTTAGAAGACTATAAATGAGAAGTTCATTGTTACCTAACGTACATTGAGGAAATTTTCATTTTATCTTTGTAGTTAAAGGCTAGATATGCCATTGGGCTGAGCAGAAAGAAGAGAAAATTGTTAATCAGCAGTCACCACCTATTGTGGAAGATGAAATTCCTAGAGACGAGGCAAAAGTTCCTGCTGTGTCTCCATTAAGGTATCTCTTGAGACGATCTAAGTCATCTGCTGCATCAAGCATGGTTGGTCTTGTCGAAGGAGACTCTTGTGTGCAGAGAAGTCCCAACTCGATTAACTCTGAAATAGCAACTTCCCACATTTTTCTAACATCTTGGGATTGATCTCTTGAGGCTGTCACCAAAGCAGGATCTACCACTTTTTCTAACCTTCCATGAAAATAAAACTTTACCCATTTGTGCAGACTTAACCCACCAACAAACATGTCATCTATTGGTCTTCTTCTAGTCACCATCTCAAGAACTAGAATGCCAAAGCTATAGACATCTCCTTTGATAGATGAACTGGATCCAAACCCATATTCTGCATCAGAAATTATGGAAGAGCACTGATGACTTATTATTTGAACTAGTGGAAAATATTGCAGCAAAATGCATGGCAAACAAGAGTGTCATCTGTCTAGTATATGTATGAGATAATACAGTCACCAAAACATTATGTAACACATTTTATTAGTGTTAACTTTTGACTGATCTAGACTAGTTAAATTGCTTGGCTCCTGTTAGTAAAACGGTGAAAGTCCATTTTCAAATTTAACTGAGCTTGGTTTAATGTTGCTTCTTGCGCTTAATTTTGCAAGATACACAGATTACCTGGTGCAATGTATCCAATAGATCCAAAAAGCAAATTTGCACTAGAGTTGCCCATGTTATCGGTAGCCCCAACTCCAGCACTCATAAGCAGCCTTGCAACCCCAAAATCAGAGACAAGAGCTGTCATGTCATCATTGAGGAGACAATTGCTTGGTTTTAGATCACAGTGTATGACTCTGACAGGAGAATGATGATGCAAATAGGCCATCCCTTCAGCTATATCACTGCAAATATTCACCCTCTGGACAATACTCAAGTCTGATGATCCAGAAGAAGGATAGAGGCGACTCTCCAAGCTGCCATTGGCCATATAAGGTAGAACGAGAGCCTTAAAATCGGGTAGGCTACATGCTGTGATAATCCTTATAAGATTCCTGTGTCTAATTCTTTTCAAAACTTGGCATTCTCTATTGAAGCTCTTGGTAGAATTTCCGGATTGCAAATGCAGCACCTTGACTGCTACTGGTGTTCCATCCGCGAGAACACCTCTATAGACATGTCCATAACTACCTGATCCAACAAGTCTCTGATTGTCAAATCCTCCAGTGGCATCTGACAATTCCTTGTACGTGATTCTTGGGAAGTTACTAATCAACTCTGTTCTAGCTGCATTTTTGCTTGCCTCAGTCCTCTGAGAGCTGATCATTACTTTAAGATGCTTGCATCCAATTACACAGCAAATTATTGACAACAAGGTTGATACAAAGATCACCAAAATCAATATAATCAATAACAAACGAGCATGACTCCATCTTCTCCTTTGAGAGCACAAAGATATGCCTTCAATCGTCCCACAGAGTTTTGGATTCCCTAAGAATGACAAGTTTGAAACTGAATTAAAGATACCACCAGATGGAATCTTTCCTTCCAGATTGTTAAATGATAAATTGAGAAAAGTGAGCGTTTCAATTTTACCAAGTTTTGCTGGTATCAATCCAGATAATTGATTTCGTGAAACATCAAAAGATTCAAGGTTCCTCAGATCACCCAAGGACTGAGGGATCT